AATGTTGAGCATCTTTTCATGTGCTTATTGGAGATTTTTCAAGTCATTTGTCCATTTTTTTTAACTGGGTTTTTCTTATTTTTGAGTTTTGAGAGTTTGTTATATATTCTGGATACAAGTCGTTAATCACATACTGATTCCCTGCTTGCCTTTTTATCCAACCAAGGGACTACACTGACATTTCTGAGATAGAATAGAGATGGTTCTTAGCCCGTAAACGCTAGTCACAAGGGAGCTGCTGTTTGTGGAAGAAAACAGGCAAGGCCTTGCTTGTGTGATACCCTAGAGCGCTTCTCTCTCTTCATCCTCTTCCACACAAGTCAGAATACTCAGGGGCTATGGTAAGGGGGAACAGAGACACAAAATAACACAAAAGTTTTCTAAGAGTGGGCCAAAACCAGTAAGGGAAGTTAGTTTGATAGTTTAGTTTAGTTTAGTTTGTTTCACTTTGAGACTGGACCGGGAGGTGCCATTTTCATTCTGCACCTTCTCTCAAGAGTAAGGATCCTCCCTATTTCCCTCATCTCCAGCTCCAACAGGACCCATCTGAAAGGCTGAGCAAACCAGACTCAGAGAGGAAGAAGGGGTCAGTCCTGAGAGAAGGGGACCATGGAAAGGAGAGGGAGAGGGGTTCCCTGGTGCCCATCAGGGGGACTCAGCGTGTACTGAGCGATGACTTTCTATATTGCAACATCATCTGGACTCCTGGCGTATGTTTGATCAATAAAAAGATTTTTAGGTAGGAAAGGCTTCGAGGTGGTAATCTATTTGGGATTGCTGGAGGATCAGGAGGGGCCTGAAGCTATGTTTGCAAAACTCTTCACAAAGGAGTGCAAATACCAATTCTCCATATCAAAGAAGGGGGCAAAAGTGAAGCTTTCTGCTAATGGCCTGTAACATCCCACCTTCTAGCCTTTAGGGAAAGAGTTAGGAAGACAGCGAGTTCAACTCTCTATCTGTGTTTCCAATATCCATCTTTCGCAAAGGAATGATAGATAGATGATGATAGATGATAGATAGATAGATATAGAATCACTGGCTTTTGACTCTAATCAAATAATCCAAACAATTCTAGAATTTCTGATTCTGTATTACTTACTTGACCTGAGGGTTCCGAAGCGCTCACAGCATCTAAGAAATGAAAAAAGACAACTTCATATGGCCCAATCTTTCTTTGGTAAACATAAATAAAGTAGTCAGTCTATTTTAATTTCCTTTCTCTTCTGTTGAAGTAGACAATTAAACCTGTAATCCAGAAGCATGAATTCCTGTTAACACAGATGATACCAAATGTGCCCCAGCAAGTCACTAAATGCCTTGACCTCTTCAGCTCTTCTGTTGATCCCTGTACTTTGGATTGAGTATTTCCTTTACTATCAGTATTTACACAGGCCTGTTCCACATCATGGCACCCTATGTAAGACGAGTGGTTCTGAAAATACATCATCATGGATCATCAGCTATAATGAGAAGTAGATTAACCCAGGGGCATGCCATCAAATGATCTGCCAAAGGTACAGTTGACAAAGCCTTCATCAGTCATTACTGATATAAATACCATCCTCCTCAGAGGATCATTTGCAATGTGTCTCTCAGAGCTAAATCAGTACTCTAATTGCAACATCAGTTATGGGCCCTGCTCAGTGATGAGAGGGGCAAAGATATGAGGATGTTCTCAGCCGAAGCTATTTATACATGCCACGTGGTCCTTAATTATCTGGAAGGGCGGGGATAGGGAGAGTTGGAAAGTTGACATGACTAAAAACTGAATCCACCCAACCCCTTTTGCACCATTCTGGAGAGAGAGAAAACTCTAGGTACTTCCTTTGTAAGAGAAAAAGGTAAAAAACCTCAAATCCTGTGAGAATGCAGTCTACCCAGTTGCCAACTGGTATTTCACTGCTAATACTACTTTCTATTATTTGAGTTCAAGACTTCAGGGGACTATGGGAAAGAAAATTCAGGTTTTGTAAGCCCAAAATCAAACAGGCACTCTTGGTAGAATCTCCTTTTATCCTCAAAGGTAGATGAAAGTTGTTGATTAGAAAATTGACTCAGTTATTCCAGAAAGTTGGTCAATAAAAAATCCAGACCTCAATTCAAAAACTTGCTGGAACATAACATATAATCATTCGTTACATATTCATAAATTTATATATTAAATGCCAGAGATTCAAAATAAAGTACAGGAAGAATATCGGATATAAGGTACGTTTGTGAAGAAACAGCTGTAAATAATGACTACACTTATTTAGTGCTTCCATGTGTCAGAGACTATCCTAAGAACCTTACCTATAATATCTAAATAAATTCTTCCTACAATTCAATAATGGAAATACTATCCACATGTTACTGTTAAAGGAACTATGCTCCATGTCACATGCCATTTAAGTAGAAGTGTCAAAATTCAAATACTCATCTGACTCCAAAGTCTTTGCCCTAAAACACTATTCTTTATTCTACCTATTAGTATGGACCTCATAGCTTATCATACTCACACATCTTGCTTCCCTCTAATGTCAACTGACCTATTTACGACCTTTCAAGGCAGCTACTCTTCCTCTTGGCTCTCCTTAGCACATCTTTAAGTTGTGAATCTGCTGTGAACAGGTCAACTTTCTCAACTCAAGTCTAATAATGAGATTGTGATTGGTCCAGCTCTTCTGTGTCTGAGCAAGGATTTTGCACACTCATAACCTGATGATCACCCGTGGTCAGGTACCTGGGCTTGTTTCAATCAGCTGATGGCTGGAAGGGAGGGAGCAGGGAAGGAGCAGAGCCCCGGCTCTGTTAGCAGAGGCTGTGGGTGGGCTGGTTTCCCTTGGCAGAAGCTGTAGAAACTGAGACTGACTTGGGTAATACAAATATGGTGAACAGATTCAGAATATACCATTGTGAAGAGTTTTCTTTTCTGAATTCTCCTTCTGCCTAAAAGCAGAGTCTCCCAAAAGAACTCAGCTGTCATAAATGCCCTCCCTGGAAAACCAGGAAATATTGACTCCTGTCACTGGAGATCAGCATCAGAATAAGAAATCCTAAATAGACATTGTCGCAAAACTATCCTATCTCCTATCTATATTCTCCTAAGGGCCCATTTATCTTTCCTAAAAGTCATGTGTTTTCCCATAACTGCCCTTCTCCCTGTTCTCGTCTCTTCCCCTACTTATGATGGCATACAAGCCCCAAATTCTAACTGCCTCGAGTCACATTTTTCTGTGAATTCCCACAGACACACATGGATTAAAAAATCTTTCTTTTCTCTTACTAATCTGTCTTTTGTCGGTTTAACTTGCAGGCCTCCAAATATCAAATGTAAGAGGGTAAAGGAAAAGTTTCTCCATCCTCACAATGGAATAGTTTGAAACCATCAAAAATGATACTGTAAAAGAATATTTAATGACATGGAAAAAATCCACTATCTGTTAAGTTAAAAAAGAAGGTTGCCAAACTCAGCTCTAGAGTCAGACTTCATTTTTGTAAATACATACGTTTGTATACATGCATTGAAAGTCTAAAAGAGTGTTCACTAAAGTGTTAAAATTACCCTGAGGACTAGGAGCAATTTGAACTTTTCTTTTTATTCCATTGTGTATAATTTGAATTTATAATAATAAACTATATTAATTTTTCTATTGAAAAAATGTGCAAATATTTCCTTTTTGAAAAAATAAGAATCTATGTATACCTTTTGTAGAAACCATATTATTTTTAAAATTAGCTGTAAAAGTAAAGATATACTTAAAAATTTAGCTATGGAAATATTCATTGCCATGCTAGCAAAAGAAAATTTCAAAGAAAAAAGTCCAACAACGAAACATTGAACAAGTAAGTTAAATGATATCCAGAAAATGGATATTTTGCAGTTATAAAATCAGTGGCTCTAATTAGGATTTAGAACTTTTCTTCATTCTTGGCCATCTCACTTGAGACGGCTTAGAACCCATGGAAAAAAGCATCTGCTATTAAGGTTTTATAGTCACAGAACAAAGCAGACTAGACTAATAAATGTGCATTTTAACACAGAAGGCAAAGGTAATTTCTGAATCATCATATTAGGTTTCCTTAATGAGTGTTCATTTGTTCATCATTGAGTGGCAGATTGTCGCCAGAGACTGATCGTACTCTGACGATGCCTCTCCAGAATCCTACGCTCCTTACATCCACGGTAACAACATTTCTGTAAGAATTCTTATTTGCAAAGTTGGCAGGCCGCAGGAAAGTAATGGAAATACTGGTGAACATTCAAATGCAGTACAGTATTTCACAGTAGATGTAACCTGAAAATCATTTTTATAAAAATCATTGTCTTCCTCAGAAAGTGAAAAATAGAATTACCATATGATCCAGCAACTCCACATCTGGGTATATTCCCGAAAGAACTGAAAGCGGAGACTTGAAAAGATGTTTGTATATCCATGTTCATAGCAGCATTATTCACTATAACCAAAATGCAGAAACAACCCAAGTGTCCACGCATGGGTGAATGTATACGCGCGTGTGTGATGAAAATGTATTTCATTCTGTGGGTCATGGTCACATGAAAGTCTCTGTTTAAAGCATATGCCCAGATATGAGGAGGCAAAAAAAATGAGTAAATTATAAATTAGGTAATTAATTTTTATTAATGTATCTCTAATAGTAATTGGCAAAGCCCGCCAAACATCTTGGCATGCAAGCGCTTAGAGTTCCTGCTCTACCACTGCCCTTTTCAGAAGCATATTCTTTTCTGAATTGGCTCCAACACCTCTACAATCATCACAGGTTTTCCATCTCTATTTCCTCAGTGATGATCACGTATAGACATACGCTGGACTAAAGTAGACCTGAAAGCTAAGTAGTAAAGGGTGTGTTTAGTGAATAAATAGTAGATTTCTTGACTATTTTAATCTACTTAAGTAAACAAAGATTTTCCTAACCCCTCCAGCGCTTTAAATTTTCATGCTTAGTTGTCGATACGCCTATGAAAATCTTATCTTCTCAATTTCTTGACCCTTGACTAGAGTCAAGAAGAGGCCCAGTGGGGACAATTTTGGAGGTCAGCCCAGGCTGAAGTGGATGGCCAATTGACACCAAGCGGAACGATGGACAACCATGTTAATAGATCTCCTGATTTTCCAAGAGAAGTTAGAAATTTCTATTTTTATATGAAATCTCCTGTTTTTAAACGTTGGCAACTGATTCAAAATAATTTTAAACACTTTGAAAGATAAATAAAATGTGTCTGCAGGCAGCCCAGTTTGTGACCTCTTCTTCTAGAAGTCCCCTAGAGAAGACTTAGCAATAATTACTCTTCGGAGCCTCCCCAACTTTACCCCATTCTCACCTCCACCCCTCCCTCATTAACTCCCTCCCTAATTAACTGTTCTTTGACCTCAGTTACTAAAGCAATTTATATGTATGTCTGTTAGAGTGCTCAATACATTCTGTGAAAGTTTTGTTGTCGTTGTTTGGTTTTTTCATATCTATCTGCCTTGCTAAAGATAAAGTTGACCTCTGAGCTTGGTGCTCAGTTAGACTTGGAGGAAATCTGTTTGAGTTCCAGCTCTGACATGAGACAACTTTGGTTGAATCATTTGACCTCTTTAGGTTCAGTTTTCACATCTAAAATGTGAATTAATAATAATAATGGAAAAAACAGTGGCTCCATTATTAGCTATAACAATGGAGATACAGTGTATTATCTGCAGTCAAACCTTCCAGAAGCTCTCAGGAAGAAACTCTGAGTGTAGATGGATTTTTTAATTAATAATTATGATAATAGGTGGAATATCGAGTGCTCGCATGTGCCAGGCACTTCCCAGATGCTTTATCCGGTCCCTTAATCGTCACAACAACTCTATAAGGTAAACGCTATCATTGTTTGTATTTTACTGGTGAACAAAATAAGGCTTAGGGTGGTTGAATAGAACTTCTACTAAGTGGCAGAACTGGAACCAGAACCGAGATGTCGCACTTCAAGGCCCCGGATCTTGAACACACCCCTGATTCACTACAGCATAAAGTCTCAGAACAGAGTCTTTCCTCAATCTGTTTGGTCCCTAAGGCAATAAGATGGGCGGACACATAAACTCTTGTGTCTTTCATATTTTGTGTGTGTGGCTAGGCTAGATGGATGGTTGTCTGTGGGGACAGGGAAAAGGACAGCCCAGTCAGTGATTTTAAGCTGATTTCTCTATGGGGACAGGGTTTGAGAAAAGCTTTCAACAAAGGGAAACAAGGGGGCTTAGCAGATATGAAACAGGAGTTTGCTCGTGCCTCCTGGCCCCCATTCTACCCACCTGTGGACAGCGAGACTACAGATGCTGTGCTGCCAGCCAGGCGGGAACTGGGGCCAGAGGTGACGCTGCCCTGGGAAAGGTGGAGGCTGTTCAAACTTCAGGAAAGTCCTTTATCTTGGTGATGGCAAGTATTGCCATTCATCATGGAAAGGTAAATACAGGAACCCAATAGAAAACCATCAGCTAAGGAGGGCTTACTTTACTAAGACAGCTCTTGCTCTGTTACCATTTAAAGATTAATCCCTGGTGAGCAGTTGGTGCTTCCCTTGCACATTTTAAAGGGCCTTAACAGTGTCATTTCCAAAGGAGAGTCAGAGGCAGGAGGTGGGAGGCATCACTCTGAACACAGTTTCCCTCGTTGCCATTATAAGTCCTTACCATTTATTTTTAAATAACTATGCTCAAGAAAAGGAAATAAAACACTCCCAGAGACCTTCACAAATTCAGATACACTTGTCCGGGGCTTTTGGTTGTTTAGTTTGTGAAAAGCTGTTTTCGCAGTCCAGAGCAGTGAAACGTGAATGTGACAGCGTGCCCACAGGAACCTGGGAGGGCTTTGGGCGGCTGACCGAGCTGAGGAGCAGCCAGCACTGGTATCCAAGGCTTCTATCTTCTAAAAAGAGAAATAGCTGGGGAGGGGGTCCTGCAGGGACATGTTGACCAACACTAAAGAGATAAAAATGACAAGAGCCAGATTAAAGCAGATGAGAATAGTAGGTGGGGCTCCAAGGGGTACCAGGGCCAAAAGGAGAGAATGTCCTCAGTCATACGGCATGAGGTCAGAGGGACACCCTGGGGTGGCCTATTGGCCAGCCTTCAGTGTCCCTTGGAAGATGTGTGGGTTGCTCCAAGCCACTGAGCAGATCTGCCTCCCCTAGGGAGCAGACACTTACCCAATAGTCCATGGGTAACCCACAGTTGTTGTGTTTTCATTTTTCCCAGAGGAGCAAGCATAGCAGTGGACTGACAACTTGAAACTCAGCCTAGCTGACTGGCATCGTGGGAGTCAACCAGCCTGTTCTGTGGAGGACATCCAACTCTGAACTGAGATTTCCTTGCTTCCCACTGGGTCAATCCAGTGTGTGCCTGTGCCCTGCAGTCTCCCATGGGAAAAAAAGAAAGAAAAAAAGAAAGCAAAAGCTGGGTTTCTGAACCTAAGTGTTCCAGGAATTAGGAGCAAGCCAGGTGGCTGGGCTTACTTTATCCTGAAGACAATCCTATGACTGACATAGTATTCCTTTGGCCTACAGATAAGAAAACTAAGGCACAGGGTGGTTGCATAATCTGCCCCAACATGTCAATATTTTTTTAAAAAAAGACAAAAAGCCTATGTATCTCTAGAATCCAGATGTCTAAACACTATGCTGTCCTAGCCATTGATGAGATGATAATGGAAAGTGTTTGACAGTACCTGCTGTATAGAGAGCTCCACTAACATTGATTACTATCATTATTATCCTTTTATATACAGATATTTGTATTCCAGTTAAAATTGTCCATTAAGATTATCAGTTAACTAATAAATATTTAAAATAACAGTTTATCAAAGTATCTTCGCTAAGCACTTCCACTAGGGTTGGGGAGTATCTGTGGTAACCAGTCTCCAAGATGGCGCCCAATGGTCCCTGCCTCATGCTATTCACACCCTTGTACTGTCTCCACCCACATTGTATCAGGGTTGATCTGTACAATCAATAGAATATGGAGGAAAAGATAGAATGTCACTCCTGAGGCTAGGTTATAAAAGACATCGTGGCTTTTGCCTTTCTCTCTGTTAGCTCCCTCATTCTGGGATAAGTTAGCTGCCAAGTTAGGAGTAGCCCTGTGGAGAGACTCCCAAGGCAGGGAACTGAGGCCTCCTGCCAACAGCCGTGTGAGTGAGCCATCTTGAAAGTGGATACTCCCTCAGTCCAGCCTCAGATGACAGCAGCCCTGACCAATTTCAAGACTGCAACCTCACAAGAGGCCCTGAGCCAGAACAACCCAGCTGAGCCACACCAAGTTTCTTGACCGTCAGAAACTCTGTGAGATGATAAAAGCCACCGTGCGTGGGGAAATTGTTATGCAGCAATACATAACTAATACATTATCTCTTCTAGAAACTTCCTATGGATTGTCAGCATTTTGTACCCCCTCTATCATAGCACCCACTATATTCTGACTTTATTCTGTTTTCATCTCAGTCTCCCCTTCTGGACAATGAGCTCAAGGAGAGGGACTGAGACGGTCCCTGATTTTTGGGCTCCCAGGACCTTGCATACACTGCAACTGGTATGGACTTCAGTAAGTGTATGTATTTGAACTGAACTATCTCCATTTACTATATGTCTTTTTTTCTTTAAAATATAGTTTGTATTTCAGATTTTTCACGAATTCAGGTAGTTCTTGCCATCTGAAAAATTAGACCTGCTTTCATTCGACTGGTTTGTATTTGGTTACTAAAGTTATTACTAAATTTGTACTATGCAAGATCTTAAACACAGAATCATAACAACTTTTAACAGAAGAGGTTAACTAGTGTGTCAGGTAGCAACATTCCTGTGCCTTGAGAGCCATTAGGCCAATAGCCGAGAATTTTTTTCCCCAAATAACATCAAATACCTGAAGATAAAAGTAGTTCACCAATGGAAAAGTAAAATAATTTCCTAGAATACACTGCCTGAGTTGGTTGCATAATGTCAGGGAGTTGGGATTAAATTACAGGCTCTATTTTTTAACTCATATCTAGTTGATAAAATATATTCCTATTGTTATTAAAGATATCAGTTTAATCTATGGTTCATTTTGCACTCTGATCCTATGGAGACCAAATTCATCATTATGCCTTAAAATGTAATGTAAAATTCAAGTGATCAGTGACATTCCTTATTTTGTATTTATACAATAAGAAACTCACTAAGGACATGAATTTCTCGTGTAAATAGAAAGCAGTCCACATCAATGCATCTTCCATCACGGTCTTTACTAAGGGGTTCACCACTTCTAGGAGGCCCCATCCTCAGGAAACAAACAAAGCCTACCTCATCTTCTCAAAGCTGTCATCTATCCTTGCTCCAAAATATGCTAAAATCCAGCGAAGGAAGGGAAGCCATTCCTCTCAATGTCTCCAAATGAGACCATTCTGAAGAGAAGTTTCTTAGCTCTGGGTGGTCTGAGATTCATCTGCGTGTGCTGATACAATGCAGCATCAGAAGTGCTGGGGGCAGGGCAGAAGGCAGGAATCTTGGCATTGACACACAATGGTAACTCAACAATGTTGAAGTTGTAGGCTCCCACATCCTCAGGTTATATCCTGGTGCAGTCTGGCCTGGAGGAAATACCTAAAATAAAATAGATGAGCATTCAACATCCATGCAAAATAAGTTCCAGAATTAAGAGTGAGAATGGAAACTATCTACTCCATATACACAGCTTGGAAGCTGAGGACGGGGACTATCTAACCTTCCCCCTTCCCCAAACACAAACACACACACACACACATACACACACATCTTACTTTCTACAATACCTTAACAGAACTCTACTAGTCCACTGTCCTCATTAGCATACTTTACTAACCTGGGAGACTCTTGCCCAGGCAAATAACTTGATTGTATATTACAGGAACTTCCCCCAAAAGACCCTTCACCTCTTCCACAGGAAGCATCAACAAACAGTTAACACCCTAAGGATCTTCAAATCCCTCACCTCAAAACCCTTGTCTTGCTGTTTCCAATCCTAAACCATCATGTCATTACCCTTACCCAATCACGCCCCCTCATTGAAAGACCACCTTAAACCAAACTTCCTATTCTCCATAAAATCTGACCTTGCCTTTCCCCTCGGAGACATTACCCAAACTCTGTCTAGGTGGTTCTCTGCCTTACCACAGTAAACAGTAAACACAGCTTTGTGGCGTCAACAAGTTGTGTTGGTGATATTTACAGAGCCAGCACTTGACGAGTGCTTAGTGTGAGTCTAGCAAGAAATGAAAACCGTTGAAGACTAACAGACGGCCTTTAACCTATTTTGCCCCTAGGGATCAGTGGCCTTCAATGTTTAAATAGTTCCACATCTGAACATTGATTTCTGCCTGGTCCAGCATTTGCCACAGTATACACTGTCAGATGTTAACAGGTGTTACTTCTTTAAAAGAAAAAAGTTTCCATGGTCAAACAATTTGAGAAC